CCCCATCATTCTGGGGAAGAGCAGGAACAAGCCAGCTGAGTTGTATCAAAAGATCTGAAATCAGGTGCTATGCAAACCTGTTATTTGCACTGAAATAACACTCATAGCCCCTGTCAAGCTTGAGGTTTACTGTTCAGAGCACTAAAAATAAAAGCTATTTACTTAATATGAGAGAACTGAGAAGAGGCAAGTCTGGGCTGGGCAAAATGAGGGGGGAAGAGCAGGAACAAGCCAGCTGAGTTGTATCAAAAGATCTGAAATCAGGTGCTATGCAAACCTGTTATTTGCACTGAAATAACACTCATAGCCCCTGTCAAGCTTGAGGTTTACTGTTCAGAGCACTAAAAATAAAAGCTATTTACTTAATATGAGAGAACTGAGAAGAGGCAAGTCTGGGCTGGGCAAAATGAGGATGCATTTAATATGCAACAGTATGATTTCACTAATTTCCTGTTAACTTATTAGACATATGAAAGTATGAAGAATTTATAATAATTATCAAGTAGCTTCAGAGAGAGCAGAATCAGATCCCAAGAATAACATCTAATCTGTTGAAGTAAGTCACTCCACTGTGCTTTCAGAAAAAAGAGCTGGAGCAAGTATATTCAAGAGACGAAAACTGTTTGTTCCTGCCCCTGAGACACTGCTCCTGGCTTCACTTGACAAAAGACTTGGTTGCTGAGATACCATACAATAGCTGAACAGCTGAGTCAGACAGACCATCACAATGAAATATACCCTCTAAAAAAAGCAGTGGAGGGGAAAGGATAAAGAAAATGTAGGTCTTGTTGGTCTTTTAATAGAGTAAGAAATGTCACTGGTTCCAAAAAGCTTTGGTCCTTTAGTATATTTCTAAAATAGCTTGAAATCATGATTTTCTAAAGAGGAATGTAATAAAACATAAAACATCTCTCCAGTTTCACCATTTCACCATTTGATTTTTTAATATACCTTTAACATCCTAGTTAATATAATTTCAGAGAGAACTGAAACTAAAATTACTCCTACTACTATAAATCCCGATGCTGCAAATTTTCCAGGAGACTAATCATGTGAACACAGCTAAGCACATGCATAACTGTTTGCAAGATCAGAGTTTCACTATTACTATTGGTAAGTTCTGCATCTAACTCTTCGTCCGTCGGAACAACCCCCCAAAGGAAGAGGGGGAGTGTACTTTAAAGCAGCAGTTCATAACCATTTTTTGTACCAGGACCTATGTGTAAACATCGGTGGCCAGGCCCGACCCATCTGTGGGGTGGGGGATGGGTACGTGAGGTGGGTAGGGCATGGGGGGGCCCCAAGCAACCCCTCCCAGACTGGAACTGGTTTCCCCATCTTTCTCCTTTAAAGGAGAATCCATTTTTAAGGTTTGTTTGCGACCCTTTCATATATTCTTGCAATCCACTTTTGGGTCATGAATTGATTTACTTTGTAATTGTAATTGAATTACTTGGATAAAATTGTTTCTTTACCTGATTTTCAAATCAAAGATCATATTATGGCTTTTGAGAAAGAAGTGAAGAGTTTATGAGCAATTAAAAAAAAAAAGAAAATATCATACATTTTTCCAATGATAAGGTAGCTTAGTGAGTGCCAGAAGTGTGAGATTAACTGCTTGAATAATTTCATTTTAGCCATTGCAGTTTCAGTTGTGTCAGCACTTTTATTATATCCCTAGATTTGTCACACAAGGGTTTGTAACTGAGCTCTGAAAGTTTGCTCTAAACTGAAACTTGTCGCAGCCACTCTTTGCCACAAAACTGAAATGTGCATGTAATCGACCTAATGGGAGGAACTCGGGGGGGGGGATGATTTGGACATTTATTTTGACTGGCTCAAAGTACCACTCTTTTCAGTTCACTGTAAAAAAGCTACTAGCTCCTTGAGCCAAATGCAGGGAAAAAAAGATGTAATTTTGCAAAGGCTGCAGTTTCAAAACCTGCATACTCACATGGGGGAGGGCAGTTCTGAACACTCAAGACTCTGGGTTTGTGGATGGAATATCAAGGAAATATTTGTATGGGATAAAGATAAGTGCCTTTACAGTAGGGACAGGAGTAAAGGACATGTTACATGATTATTGCAATTAAAATTAAATGTAACTATAAAAAGATATAAAGGGTAACACAATCTTATGTCAATCTGAAGTCCTTTTTTTCTTTTGAAAGAGGATTTCTTTCGTTTGAGGAATCTGTTGATATCACATTGACACATCCCTGGAAGGCAGTCACCCTGAGGAAGAAGCACTGCAGTTATTGAACTACATTTAGCAGTGATACAAGACAGCAAAAGGAATCTGCAGGGTGAATTCAAGTAGAGAAGGACTTCACTCAGTCAAAGTCTACCCAGGACTCCACAGTTTACACCAAAGGAGATGTCAGAAAGCTTTAGTAACTAAATATCTTTGCATCCCAGCCTCTGAGTCTCTCATTGCTTCCTGCAGCACTTGTGAGCATAGCTCCATCTAAACTGAGGCCTCGCTCTGCACCAAACACCATCTACTGAAAGTTCTTCAGTTAGCGAGCACATCCTTCTGAAGCGCCGAGCATACTTTTTACACCATATTCATAATACTAGTAGTGACCCATCCTGACCCCAGTATCAGGATAACAGCATGAGTAGAGCTTTGATGTGCTGCCCCAAATACTCCTCAGAGTTGTTATAATGGATTACACCAAGCTTGGGACAAAACATTTATATTACTTGCTTTTTTTTTTTTGAGGGTACAGGTTCATGGTTAGGTTGTGACCACAAACACACAACCATCACCATCAAAGAAGGCCACATCCCTTCCCACCAACTCACTTTCTCACACAGGCACCTAGAAATGGGACCTGGTCAGTCTCTTTGAGCTGCTTGGTCTGAGATGTATCGATTTCACAGAGCTGCTGGAAAGATATTTGGGGCTGAGATGAAAGAGATGGGGAAGAGAGAGAAGACTCCACATGGGCACTTCAAGTACTGGCCTGGGGTGTAATACACTCTGCTTCATTTGAAGGGCTGGGGGCCAGGGTTACCATATAGCAGGAGGACTTTCAAGTCAGCTCTGACTAAATGAAAGGATCATTATGCCTCTTTATAAATCCAAGGTGGATCCACCCATTGAGTACTATGGCCAGTTCTGGTTCCATCACCTCACAAAGGAGATAGACAAACTAGAGAAGGTCCAGAGAAGGGCAAAAAGGATGATTAGTTGTATGGAGGGGCTTCCACAGGAGGAGAGAGAGACTAAAGAGCCCAGGTCTATTCAGTTTAGAAAATAGATGCTTGAGGTGGGGGGACATGATAAAGGTTTCCAAAATAATAAATGGTAAAGAGTAAGTAAATAGGGATTCATTATTTACTCCCTCTCACAGTATAACAACTAGGGGGTCACAAAATGAAATGAGCTCTTTTTCACACAGTGCCTCATTGAAGTGTGGCACTCATTGCCACCAGCTGTGGTGGAAGCTGATCGTTTAGCTAGATTCAAAAAGGGTTTGGATGAATTCTTGGAGGAAAGGGATATCAGTAGCTATTGCTCATGGGAGTTTGAGACACAGACTCTGAATTAGAACTTCCTAAACCTTAAATGCTGGAAGCTGCAAGTGGGAGAGGAACAGTGTGGGAAAAAAAACCCTAGTCATATACAGTTCACTCTCCCCTTCAGCATCCATCCTCTGCCTCCATGTGACACCAGCCTTGGGGTTCAACAGCTATTCGAGGTTTCTTCTGCGAGACTTAATCACCCAATCTGTACAGGGTGTAGCCCTGGTGCTTCAGGGCATACACCACGTCCATGGCGGTCATGGTCTTCCTCTTGATGTGCTTGGTGTAGTGACGGCATCACGGGTGGCATTTTCCAGGAAAACTTTCAGCACCCCATGGGTCTCGTCATAGATGAGCCCTGAGATGCACTTCATGTCCCCTTGGCAGGACTGATGACAGATGGCAGGCTTGACAATGCCCTGGATGGTGTACCACTTTGCAATGCCTCTTGGTGCCTCCTTTCCCCAGCCCCTTCCTGCCCTTTCCACAGCTATCTTCAACTAAATTCTTTAGACTCTGATACTGGGCAAGATGGACTGAGGCTCTGACCTAGTTCATGGCAGTTTTCATGTTCTCACTCAGGCGGAGAAGGACAAACTACAGAGAGACAGTCATTGACTCAAAGAAAATGAGGGTTGGAAGGGACCTCAGGAGGTCACATCTAGCCCAACCCCCTGCTTAAAGCAAGACCAGCCCCAAATAGATCATCCCAGCCAAGGCTTTGCCTAGTTGGGATCTTAACCTCCAAGGATGGAGCTTCCACCACTTCTCTGGGCAACCTGTTCCAGTGCTTCACCACCCTCCTAGTGGGAAAGTTTTTCCTAATATCCAACTTAATCCTCTTTTGCTGCAACTTGAGACCCTTGCTCCTTGTTCTGCCATCTGCCACCACTGAGAACAGTCCAGCTCCATCCTCTTTTGAACCCCCCTTCAGGGAGTTGAAGGCTGCTATTAAATCCCCTCTCAGTCTTTTCTTCTGCAAACTAAATAAAACCCATTTCCTCACACTCTTCTCATAAATCATGTACCTCAGCCCCAAAACCATTTTTGTTGCTCTCTGCTGGACTCTCTCCAACTCGTCCACATCCTTTCTGCAGTGGGGGCCCAAAACTGGACACAGTACTCCAGATGTGGCCTCACCAGTGCTGCATAGAGGGGAAGAATCACTTCCCTCAATCTGCTGGCAACGTTCCTACCAATGCAGCCCAGTACGCTGTTAGCCTTCTTGGCAGCAGGGGCACACTGCTGGCTCACGTTCAGCTTATCATCCACTGTAACCCTCAGGTCCTTTTCTGCAGAGCTGCTGCTTAACCAGTCAGCCCCCAGCCTGTACCAGTGCATGGGATTGTTCCGTCCTAAGTGCAGGACTTTGCACTTGTCCTTGTTGAACCTCATGAGATTTTCTTTGGTCCAATCCTCCAATTTGTCTAGGTCACTGAATCCTAGCCCTCCCCTCCAGTGTATCTACTACACCCCCCAGCTTGGTGTCACCTGCAAACCTGCTGAGGGCGCACTCTATACCATCTTCCAAGTCGCTGATGAAGAAACTGAACAAAACTGGCCCCAGGACCAACCCCTAGGGCACTGCACTTGATACTGGCTGCCAGCTAGACATTGATCACTACCCATTGAGCCCAACACTCCAGCCAGCTTCCTATCCACCTTACAGTCCAGTCATCCAACCCATACTTCCTCAGCTTGCCTGCAAGAATGCTGTGGGAGATGGTATCAAAAGCCTTGCTAAAGTCATCCCAGTCAAGGCTCTGTCTAGTCAGGATCTTAAAAACCTCCAAGGATGGAGATTCCACCTCTTCTCTGGGTAACCTGGTCCAGTGCTTTACTACCCTTCTAGTGAGAAAGCTTTTCCTGCTATCTAACCTAAACTTCCCTGGCTGCAACTTGAGTCCACTGCTCCTTGTCCTGTCATCTACCCCAGCTAAGACCAGTCTTCCTCCAGCATCTTTGGAAGCCCCTTCCAATAGTTGAAGGCTGTTATTCCAACCTGCTCTCAGCCCTCTCTTCTCCAGCCTAAAAGAGCCTGGCTCCCTTAGCCTCTCCTCACCAGTCCTGTCCCCCAGTCCTCCCACCACGCTCCTTGCCCTTGGCTGAAGTTTGTTCCTTTATTCTCAGTTCCTTATTCCCAGTTTCTTTTTCAAAGCTCATTGTGACACAACTAAAGATGGCTCGCAACGAATGAGATGTGCTAAAGAATGAGCATTTCATCAGAAAAATATATTTAGTAATAAAAATGTAAAATATATCATGTATGAAGCATGGGGTGTTACGTTGTAGCCTTGCTGGTCTAAGGACATAGGTAGACAAGGTTCTTTGGGCAAATCTGATTATCTTTTATTAGACCAACTCAAATACAGGTTTCCCTTGCTTTATGCGGGATTCGTTCTTATGAGATGACCCTTTTTATACCAAAAATTGGTTAGAGGCGAGGTAAATTCACTCTTATGCGATCGGCGTGGTGGAAGCCGGCAGTAGCTGCTTCGTGCAGTGCACTGTGGGAGTGACGCTCACAACAGTCTCCCGCGTGGATCCGTGCTCCTCGCTCGTTGTCTGCGACACGCGTTTCTGTAGTCGCCATTCCCGTTATGATAGTGCCCTGTGCTTGTGTGCACTCTCTACTGTCGGTGAGCACCAAAACAGTCGTGTAAAGGCGGTGGAAACAGGTCTGGGGGTCAGCACAGTCGAGGTCTAGGACACTGTGAAGTGAGCCCCTTGACGCGAGTTGGAGTCACCCCGCTTTGCGGGAACGCAGGCGCAGCACACCGCGGGGAAACCTGTAGTTGCCAAAAAAGACACCCGAAAACTTGCAAAGAAACATTTTCCCAACTACTGGCGTTGGTCTAATGAAAGCCGCCAGCTTTACCCAAAGGGCGTGAGCATGAAGCACGGAGCCCTGAGCAGGAAGCTGGGATTGGGGGCCCACCCCGCTCGGCTCCGCGCACAGCCCAGGCGCAGCGAGCTCCCGCGGGGCACTCGCCTCGGCCCCGGCCCCGGCCC